CTTGAGGTATGGAGTGTTCAGATGCTGCCTGATGGCCAGTCCGTGCTCGGGATGTGATGCACGCATTGCTCCTTCCCTGTACGCATGAGTAGGTGCACTATCTATACATGTCCGAGTCGGGCCTAGTGTTTGGGACATCAATATTGTAAGTAGGAAGCTGCAGCCTCGCTTTTCTCTCGTGCATCAAGCAAGCGCCTTGCGTTGCTCAAGCACTGACATTTGTACCTATCTTTTCAGGCTCAAGTAGAGCAGTAGGCTCACACAGGTTTCTCAGAGGCTAATCTGGCGCAATCCACTAGAGTGGGTTAGATCCCTGTAATAACTGTTTGTTTACTGTTTATAAACTGTTTATAAACGTTTACAACCATTTACTGTGTGTTTACAAAAAAAGTTTACACGTAAACTAAACGGTTGGAGCCTTAGTAGCGGGGCCAGCCGCAAAACTTGCGGCTTCTCACAGTCATGAGTAAAAACACATAGCCTTCGCAGAATTGCATTAAGGGGGAATCGAACCCCCGGCGGGTCGATGGCAACGACCCAGGTTACCACTACCCCATTAATGCCTAATACTGGAGGGTTACCTAAATGGATAGTAGACGTGATTTAGTCGTCTTTGACATATGGCCAAGAAGCCGCAAAAGAAGTCTCATAATAGTACATGCTTCAAGTCCATACACATCCTCTTTACATTCCTCTCTTTTGCCACAGTCTCCACCATCTCCCTCGTCACGGTAGTGTACTCCTCTTCTTCAGGTGGTTCATCGTCCGCCCTTGTGTCCATCTTCCTTATAGTCCTGTGTCGCAGTAGACCGCACTCTGCCAGGGCAAATGCAGCATCTTCCGCACGGAGACCGGTGGCTTTGGAAAGCTCTTGCAAGGTACACTGCATGACCACGTGGGTTATGGCACTGCCGTCCGCGTTCGCGGTGGTCTGCATGATGCGTTGATGCATGAGCGGATCTGTGCAGAAAATATCAGCATGTGTCGCTCAAGAGAGACGAATGGCAACCGACCGTCTTGTTCGCCGATGTCACATAAGTAGTTGCGAGAGATTATAACACTCTCCCCATCCCAGCCTTTGATACTCTTCTTCCGCCTCCTTCCTGTTGAGGCACCGTTTCCGTTCGTTGTGGCATCTTCTTCAAATAGAGGGGATAAGATGGACAAGACAGAGTCTACGACATCTTGGTTAGGGGCGGGCGAGCTGTCGTTGCTGCTATCGGCACTGCTCTTCTGTGGCGAGATAAGATGTTTGACGTCTGGAGGTAGCACTGATAGCAGGCGCCTACGCAACCGTTCAGTATCGGTACGAAGGGGCGACCCGGGTGCACTCACCGTAAGTATCGTACAATGGTAGCTATCCAGTATGTTAAGTAGCTTCGCAGACCGAGGTCGGACAGCGGACGTTCCGGAGTGCCCAGCGTTTCTGCTCGTCTCGAAAGCTCATAACCTGGCAAGGATATAAGGGCACTGTTGATGATTTTATGCTGACCTACGACCTACTAAATTCTATCAACAGCATCCCATATCCCATCCGCTGGTATGGCGGCAATACGACGATGCAAGCCAAGTTGTATTCGTCATACGAGACTTTCTCCTTCGAGAAGAATCCAAGAACATGATCACGCGTGCTATCTGCGTCCGTCAGTATATAGAATAAGACTGAAGAGGTGAGGCTAATCAGTGCCCGCGTGTCCCGAAGACGGATCCGACATACAGTTATCGCAATCGAAGAAGAGTGTCTTAATGTCGATGAACAGTTTCCCAAAAAGCGACAGATTTTGACAGTATAACTGGAGGCGTCTGAGTTCAAGAGTGAAGCATAACTACAACCAACCTTACCTTCTCCTTCGCGCCATCGACCTCCCATATGATGTGCGCGCCTCGTTGATAGACTTTTCTGCCCGGTGGGTGTCGGCGAGTGCATTTCCGCTAGTATAGTCAGTATCCGGATGCTGCATAGCAAGCACAAAGACGTACACAATGCCCTTCCCAAACCGCACCCTCCGTCATGTACTTGAAACATCTGTCGCAGACCCAAAGCGCCGCTTCACCTTCCTTGCCGTCAGTGCCATGAGTCCGCTCACGCCCCAGGCCTCCCGCAAAGAGGTCAGAGGTTCGTCCATGGGCTCGTGCCGAGGCTCGGGGGAGACGTGGGCCGATGGATGTTGGTGGCATACGGGATGTATGCGCCAGGAGAGTAGCCGGGGGCGGTGCGGGAGTTGAAGAGGGCTCACTCTCAACCTCGCTTTCCATCAAGGGATAAGGGGAGAAATACCAGGTTCGGATGGACCATTTGCCGAAGATAACCTTATCGAAGTTGCGACGCGCAGTAATCTGCTTGTGGTGCTCGAGATCGTACTCTTCTTCAGACATCTTCACGGTCTTGGGATCTCCGCCACTGTCAGAAGTGGGGACACCAGCCTCAGATGATAGAGTACGGTATGTTCTGGCGCTCTTCACAGTGCCGTTCACGCTGTGCGTACGCTTCCGCTTCTTCCTTGTGCTGTTCATGGCGTCGTTCGAGAACGCGTCGGACGCGCCTGAGGCCGCCGGACGTTCGTGGGAGGCTAGTGGTCTGACGCTTGTTTCTGGGGCCCATTCGTCCATGCGCTTGTCAGTATCGACATAGTGCACGTAGACCTCTCCAGGTCGACGTTCAAGGACATGTGCTTGTTCTGCTCTGCGGACATGTACAGCGGAGGGGCGAATGTTGAGAGATAGTCACGTACGTTCCACGCCATTCTTTGATACTACACAGAGCTCCGTATCCGGCTTTGTGATGTAGAATGTCTCCGGCATTGGTGAGTGAACGCAGGCTGTAGTGAGCTCCGAAGACAAACGAACTCGAGGCGTGTCGTGGGTAAGAACCCTTGTGAATTAGATAACAAACTCAGGTAAGGCTAGCGGTAAGACCTGGGCGAAGTCGGAATTATCAATTCACTAGCGAATTGTTACCTCTTGCTACTGGCATACATGGCTTTCAAGCGTCCCTGCTACTACACACTTTGGACACGAGCTATTGTGAGATAAGTCCCACAGTGTATATTCTGGTGATGACCAAGACGGGATTGCTCTTTCGGCTGCTCTCCTTGTGAAGACTCGACAGACAGGGCACAGTGCTATTCCTGTTTCCACACTCGCCGCATGTAGAGAGCACCACGACCGATTGAAGCTAGAGCAGTAGCAATCTTCAGCACCCAGAAACGAGTGGGTATTGCTTGAGAATATATCAAGGATTCTCGCAATAAGTCCTGTCCTAAGGCTAGGGCCAGTATCTGCGGAGAGACGGAAGCACAAACGCGGGTGACTTCACATTACAGCCGCTGCACGCAATCTGCAACCTTTGTGCCACGATATTGGCCTTAATTATCTTACACTAGTGTTTTGTCAGTTTTGAGATACATCCAAGCACTCGTGCTGTCCAGAGTCGGTTACACCAACCCCAAATCCTGTCCGGAGCACGTCAGTTACCCACCTCACCTCACTATCAAATGGAATTGCGACTCACTTTCTCAATTAACTTCTGCGCAATAGGGTGGAACTCTGTCTTGTGCTGTGTGAACGTGCGCACGGCGGCACCCTTGTCGATCGCGCTCGCCGCGCGGAAGACGGGGCGGCAGAACTTCATGCGGCCCTTGATGACGCCCGAGCCATCCTCGCCAACGACCCACCGAAGCGCATCGTGCGCAAACGCAGACGCGCCCGCGCTGCGCGTGTCGAGAAGCGCAAGTTCATAGAAGCGCAATCGGATCTCCGCGTTCGCCGTGACCGAAAGGTGATAAAGCTTGCCCAGGAGAGTGATGTGAGTCTCCGGGAGGGGCGAGTAGGATTGCAGTCTCTCGAGGAAGACGACTAGGGGACGAGGGTCAGTGGAGGAAGTGGAGAGAAGGATGAGATGAACATACTCTTTTGGTTAGAACTGAAGTCTGACACGTCGGATTCCTGGAAGTCCAGGCTGGCGAGGTCGGTGGACCGAGCCTTATCCCACCGCTCACTGGGGACAAATGAGTGCACAGGTTCTCTGTATTTAAACCGTGACGTACGCAAGAGCCCAAGCCCGCTGCGCCAGCGTGGAATCGTACTGCATTTTGAATGGCATTTCAGTGCCTTCGCCATAGAACCAAGCCTACAGCTTGCTTAGTTCTCGCAAACGGACAAATGAATGTAGGCAATACGCACATTCCAATCGATGGTATCGAGAGCTTTGACCTTCTCGGGGTCAGTATTCTGGAAGAACGCGTACAGGTGGTCCTTCCATTGCTGAGTGGTGATACTCTTGCCCATGAAGGTCCTCACATAATCGTTCACGTACGGCAAGAAAACATCTAGACCACCGAGGGTTCGCTCTGCGCTATGCCTTCAGCAGCGTTCTCACCCCCTTGTACACGGAAGCACCTACCGACGTGCAATAAGAAGTTCGAACCTTTGTCGTAGGGCACGCGACTGTAGGAGTCATCCGGGTCCTCACCTGGCTCAAAGTCGATAACGAGTCGTTGGTAGCGCGGCTGCTTCTCGTACAGCTTGAGCGCATCATAGAGAGCCTTTGAACCGATGAGATACGAGAAGCCGCGCTCGGCGGGCCCGTGCAGCTTCTCGAGCAACAACCGCTCCATATACGTCGTCCAGCCTTCGTTCAGCCAGAAGTGCGTCGCGTGCGCGTGCCTACGGAAGGATTGGCAGAGGAAGAGGAAGAGTAGGGGGGAAGCTTACGTGACGCCGTTGCCGAACCAGGAGTGCGTGAGCTCATGTACAACTACGTCGACGAGGGAGCGGTCGCCGGCAAGGAGCGCTGTAGTAATGGCGATGTGAGCATTCAAGCCATTCAAAATTCAACGGAAACGCACTAGGAGTCAAGAAGCTGAGGCATGCATTTTCCTGGTAGGGACATATAAGGATTTGCGCACATCAAATGAGACGCATATACTCGCCATACCGCCGTAGGGGAACGAAGGCGGCAGTACCAAGAGGTCATACACTTTGAATCTGTATGGCGGGACAATCTCTTCCTCCTTCGCCAAGAACCTTTCGGAGGCCGAGACGATGGGCATAACGACTCCGGCCTGAAAGTGAGAAGAATCACATACCGTCCAGTGTCTTCGCTGAACTCCCAGTAACATGCGTCAATCATTTCAGGCTCGGCCCAGATGCCGCTCGTCCAGGATTTACCCTCGACTGCAGGGAAGGAACGGTAGACGACGTTACCTGCTGCAATGGCGATGAGGTACGAGGGGATGGGTACCGGCTGCGTACAACGTTTGAAATCGATAAAGCATGATTACACCCCGTGGGCTGTACCTGATCGTACTCGTAGACGACGACGTCCTTGCCAATCTCCTTTCCTGCGTGCGCAGGACCGGTCGCGGGTGGGGAGACACGCACAGCAGATAGCAAGGTGGGAAGCACGGATGCAACTTTTGCGGAGTATGTCTGTCAAAAGCAGTCTTGTATACATATACAGCTATGCGGACCCTGGAACGACGTACAGTCTTGATCGAAGGAGTATCCTGGCAAGGCGTGAGGCTCCGCGCGTAGATGGGCTGGCATTGACTGAAAAGGTACGGATGCTTTTTGCCCTGTGTTTGTCTGTGTAGAACATTATCTTAGCACGAGGATACAAACATTCAAGGAGGGTGTGATGCACTCTTTGTCCAGCCACTGAAGTGCCGTGCAGCCTTCGGTTGTCTTGTAGAAGACAGTGACCTTGAGCTTCGATCCTGCCTCCACTGGATTGGAGAGAGTGATGTGCAGGGCCGATCCCATGACTTTGTGCTTCGGTTTAAGTTCATACTTCACGCCTCGAGAACTTGAGCATACAAAGCGGCGGAAAGGACAACGCAACTGACCTTGGCGGCTTGTCCATTGACTTCAATCTTCTCAATATCGAGTGCACTCGTATCAAAGCTGCGTAGCGACTTTTTATAATCGACGCGTTTCTCCTCGAGGAACTAGCATACATACACGACCTCTTTCACACCATCCTCTTTCGCGATGAGCGTGTGCGTTGCGCTGCCGGCAATATTCCTCCTCTCAAAGTCGACTGTCCACTCGAAGTGGATGTGCTCTGACGCGACTTGCGTGTAGTTCGCTTGGGTGGTGGGATCCAGTGACATTTATGTGTGCAGGAGATGAGAGAGAAGAGGTAAGCTGTCTTCCAAGTCGCACAAGACTAATTATCAGATTCGGTCATGTGATCACATCGAGGTGCATAGCATGCTGGGTGCGAGCGGAGCCTTCTCCTGGCACACCGTGCACTGCAGACTCATGCCCTAGGCATCGCTGAGTGCATTTGGCCGGGGGCTGCAGATCTACGTCGAGTTGAAGGCACACAAGTCTCGAGGCCTGTAATTATTGGGCGCCTGTATATGATCATAGGAGGATCGGAGAGATCAGAGTCAGAGCCTGATCGAGATCCGCACATCCCTGTGCAGCCATGTCCAAACGGCGAGCAGAGAAGATTGGTGAGAGAACCGCTCCGCTGTGAAGAGAATATACTGACTACCAGGAATTATTATGTGTGCTAGGCTCTCTCTTGTTCTGCCCAGACTGCGGAACTCTCCTTAACTTGCCGCGGGACGACGAGAACGAGGTCGCATGTGAGCAGTGCGGACACATCGAGCCTGCGAGCTGTGAGTAGGATCTGCGCCGGGCTTCACTCACGTCCTAACGTCCGGAAAGCATACGAAAATATCACCGTGATCACCAGGTCGCATCCTGATGCTTTCCCGTCCGCGCTGAGGCAGAAGGGCAAGACCCAGACGAAGATGCACGACAGCGAGGCGGCTCTGCTACTGGTGTGTCTTCGCCTGCCGCTTGAAAAACGATGACCATGCACCTCATAAGTTTATCACCTCCAGGTCACCGAGAAGTGTCCAAGCTGTGGCCATATGGAAGCGTATTCGAAGGAGATGCAGCTTCGCAGTGCAGATGAAGGTTCTACAATCCTCTACACCGTACGTTCATTGCAGTCTCGCGAATATCGTCGGCCTCTAATGTCTTTGCAGTGCGCAAAATGCAAACATGGCTGGCGTGTTAACAACTGAGTGAGCAGCCCCGCAATATAAAATCACACGATCAACCCCGCCCTGGTTCCGCGTTGGCTGGTTCCGCGTTGGCTGGCCGGGGTAGGCACCGGCAAAAAGATGCTACAGCACACTGGCAAGTTTTTAGCCTTGAGATTGATGTGCAGAGCAAAAATTGTCTTTGCAATTCACAAACTTTCAGGGCTTGCCGGAATGTAGGACTTGCCAGATTTATATGGCGAGGAAACACCCCCAGGAGGGCTAGACCCGACAGGGCAGCTTGGAACTAGAACATGTAATAGCTTGAAGCGTTTGGCTGCACGACAGCGTCCAAAGTCTTATCGTCCCATGCGTAGCCGTGATTTAGCACAGCAATAATAACGTTACAAGAATGTTTATTCCCATGGCTGCCTTTTTCTCGCCAGCGAATGATCATGGGTGCATAGTACGGATGGCGTCCTTAAGCCGGGTATTTTCGAATGCGCTCTATAAGTAGACACCGACGGAGCAGAAGAGAGCGACGACGCCGAAGCCGCCGAGGATGCTGGCTGTGGACGCGACAGCGAGCTCTCGGAGTGGGACGGTCGCCTTTGGCAATCTGTGGAGACATGAGCGACGTGCCTCGTGCGCAATGAGAAAGGAGCACCGCTGACGTGGAGAAATAGAATGCCAGTCCGAAGGTCGCAGTGAGGAGAACGAAAGCGAGGTAGGGCAGGAGCCCGACAGGGACAATGGGGCTGAACGCCGGGATTTGCCTGTGCAGCGACTGCAGACGGTATAAGGTATGTCAGGGGGCGGAGCAAGAGAGAGAACATACGGAAACGGTGTCGTAGTCTGCCATGCTGGGCGTGGAGAGATGAGCGTAGACGACCAGGTCTGGAGCCCTAGCACGTCAAGGTTCCAAATACACGTCATCAAACGAGCCACCATATCAACCAACGCCCGCTACCACACCTTCCCCCTCAATCTCTTCCACGGACCACCATCCACTGGTTTTCTGTATTCTACCCTCTACCGCAAAACATAGTAAGTGCACTCTGCTCAGCCTCGTGGCTGTGCGCTGCGGGCACGCTGCGTGCAGTGTGTTTGTCGGCCTTGTCAGACGTGTCTCACTCGTATTCTTTTCCACCGCCAGATGTCTGCCTCGCAAAACGCTAAGCAACATCCCGCCCTCATTCAGGCGCAAAGCAAGGCCAACTACTATGTCGGCCAGCTCGATAAGGAGGTGCGTCGCACGCGCTACGTCGTTGCAGTTTGCGCATGGGCTCACACGGCCCGCCCCACCACTCTAGCTATCCAAATACCAAGCCTTCAACGCAATTGAGCAGCGCACACAGGTCCCGAAGGCTTATGCCTTCCTCGGTGGTGTCACATTGCTCTTTGTCATGCACTCATTCAACACTTTCGCGTCCCCTGTCTCGAATCTTCTCGGTTGGTTAATGCCCGCGTATCTCTCCGTCAAGGCGCTCGAGACCCCGGCACACAACGATGACGTCCAGTGGCTCACGTACTGGGTTGTCTTCGGCTTCTTCAACTTCATCGAAAGCCTCGCGCTTCGCATCATCCTCTACTACTTCCCATGGTACTTTGCCTTCAAGTCCGTCTTCATCGTTTGGCTCCAACTCCCGGCATTCCGTGTAAGTCTGGTCCTCGCCCTTTCTTTGGGCCGTACATCTGACGTCATGAACATAGGGTGCCGAGAAGCTCTATGGCTCCGTCGTGAAGCCTATGTTCGCCAACGTGCAGGCCAAGGCGAGCACCAATGGTACTAGCACCAACTCCATCCCTGAGTCGACCGTTCAGGCTGATACCCTTCGCGATCGCGCAGCATATGCGACCAGCGAGTAAAGGCTATTCGCGTGCACGTCGTTCTCGTTGCGATGGACGGTCGAATGCGTGTGGTTGTGTGACGGGCAGGCGAGTGGTGGAAAGCTGTGTCCGTTACTTTATGTCGTTCGTGTTTTATTCGCTTTCATCCCCATCATACCTTCCTCACCTTTTTTGCCGGACTTGCTGCTCTATCGCTATTGAACCGTACAAACACGTTCCCATAGTATCTGGATAGCTTATGCCTGGCTGAATTGCAGTTTCTTATCCCTACCCTTGATAATGTCTCGCTGGCAATCCTGAAAAAGTGGTGAGACTCCGGTATTGCCAATTTACTGAAGGTGCATGTGATAACATGTTGAGCCAGTGATGCGCCTAAAGTCCCGCCGCCGATGTTGCGTTCGATGGCTCGCCAGCGCATTGATCTGCTTCACACGCTGAGCAAACCTCCCTCAAATCAAAGCCCTCCACCTTGACTGGGCACATGCAGTCGTTCGCAGGCAAGTCGTCCTCCGCAGGGCTGCTGTCGAACGGGTGAGGGACGATGTCTGAGTCACGAAGACAGTACTTGCAGGCATGAGAGATCACTGCCATGGGGTTCTTGGCATGTTGATGGATTGAGGTTATGAAATCGACTGACAGGGTCGAGCAGAAACCACGCTAAGTCAAGGCTCTCCAGGGCGCACCTTCGTTACGATTTACAAATGGGAAGCTTGAGTTCTTCAATGACATGAGGTGTCGGAACGCTATAGCTACGCGCTGCATGCGAACATTGCAGCCAAATTTTAGCACTGAGAAGTTAGATTGAGAAAGAGATCGGACGATTCCCAGATCCATACAGCTCATACCTCCCCAGCTTTAAAGTATGGTGACCACGTCGCTGGCTCGCTCTCCGTCATCATGTACCTTATTTCTGTTCTCATGATATCGCCGCGCCAGGTCAAACGAAAATCCGGCGCTGCCTATTGTCACCAAATCAACGCTCCGGGGGCATCGATGTTTGTCTCTTTCTCTTCGGGGGATGGTTCGCCAAGGATTATCTCGTGACTCTCTCATTGCACCCAGTATCGAATCCTCTCGTATCTCGCGCCGATCCACATGCCCTGCGGGGTGCTCGGACGAGGAAGTCGTCTATTACCAGCGACAGAATCTGTCTATCGAACCCGTTCACGATTGCAGTCCCGGACCCCCCTCCCCTCCCGCCGACCGCAGGTGCCTGGAGGGACTTGCATTCGCACAAGTAGCGGCTTGCGCTAAATTTCCAAAATAAGTAAACTTGGGTAAATCTAACTTTATTTTGGCCTAGATTTGGTGCAAAGCTGCGTGACAGCGGCCTGGAAATTGCTATCTCTGGAGGGGTCTGCGTCGCGTGACCTGGAATTGATTTTAGCTCGGAAAGATGGTCGCTCCGGACCAGAGGGTTTACTTAGGAGCGCAGTGAAACGCAAAACCTTGGACCTCGGAGGCCTGGCGAAGTGTCAAATGGGTTTGTCTGGCACCGAGCCGATGTAATTTCCATCTTTCGATGGCTGCGACAGACCCGGCAACAGGAGATAACGGTTGTCTCTAGGGTCTTTTTCCGTGGGCTCGCTGGCTGCCGTCCGTCGCTGGGAGCGGGGAGACGACCTTGAGCGGTGGAGGGGATATCAGGCCTAGGTGAGCAAAAACCGTTGTTCCTCGATCGAGTGAGTTTCACTGGGCACTGCGATGATGCCAGCTAATTGCCGGGTTCCCGTCCGATAGGCTCGAAAACGTTAGCACTGGCGCTACCAGGGGCGGCGGAAGCCCAATGCCAGCTGATCTTCCCGTCCGACGCCCCATCAAAACTTTACAGTCTTGCCCCAGATGACTGTATATTACGGCCCCCAGCGACGATGGACGAGACGATTCACTGGGCTTCTTTCCGCCATCTTCCATCTCGCCCTCACGCTGCGACTGAGCCGAGGCTCCTAGGCAATGTCCCATCACGACAACGAGAAGGCGTTTCACCTCGCGCCTGGGACGGCGCGCACGGGCTCGAGCACCGGCAGCTACGATGACAGCGCGCACCACCCCGAACTCCAAATGCTGCAGCGCCCGTCGGGCCTCAAGGGCTTCTACTACAGCCCTACGACGCAGGTCGTCATGCTTGGCTTTGTCTGCTTCATGTGCCCCGGGCTCTTCAACTCTTTGAACGGCCTCGGTGGCGGCGGCCAGCTCAAGGAGACGACGAACGCGAACGCGAACACGGCACTCTATTCGTCGTTCGCCTTCTTTGCGTTCTTTGCGGGGTGCGCATCCTCAATGCTTGCGCTCACGCTCGCGCGTATCCGCTCATCACATGACCCGCAGATCTATCAACAACGTCCTGGGCTCCAAGATAACGCTCCTCCTAGGAAGTATTGGCTATGCGCTCTACATTGGTTCCTATCTGTGCGTATCTCATTCATCTTGACTCTCCAGAAATAGCAGTCTGTCTGATGCGCGCGTGTGACTGTGCAGGGCGGTCAATATCCACCCGAACGCAGACGGGTTCGTTATCGGCGCAGGGGCCGCCCTGGGCATTACTGCCGGTCTGCTCTGGACTGCGCAGGGCTCGCTCATGCTCGCGTACCCGACCGAGACCCAGAAAGGCAAATTCATCGCCATCTTCTGGTCCATATTCAACCTCGGAGGTGTCGTCGGCGCCGCAGTGTCCCTCGGGCAGAATTTCAAGTCTGAGGTACGTCGCTTCAATTGCCTCGCTGCGGGCACTCCCACAGCGACGGGCGACATGGCGATATATTGACCGTTTGGCCCCGTCCAGACAAATTCAGGTGAGCATCTGATGATTGAGTTCGCATCGCAGTCGTTGATGATCACGCCCCTGGCGCGTGCCTATCAGTCGGAAACGGGACCTATGTGGGTGTGGTTCTCGGACTAGCCGTAAGCTGCGCTTGACAGTGCACCGCAGATTGTATTCTTGGTGCTCACCGGCATCGGCGTACTTATCCCGCTGCTGATGGTCGACCCGTCCAAGATGGTCCGCGCGGACGGGACGCGGGTCACGACGCCGAAACACCCGTCGTGGAAGACCGAGTTTTTGGGTCTTTGGGTCGCGCTACGCACCGACCCATGGATTGTTCTCCTCTTTCCGATGTTCTTCGCGAGCAACTGGTTCTATACTTGGCGTGCGTGCGCTCCGTGCTGTCGCGTGACGCGCTACTGACGCCCCAGGGCAGAGTTCAACGACTACAATGGCGCGATATTCAATATCCGCGCACGGTCTTTGAACAACCTCGTCTATTGGCTCGCACAGATAGTTGGCTCCGTGAGCATCGGCTTCCTGCTCGATCAGCGCAGCCTCAGCCGGCGCTTCCGCGCTTTCTCGGGCTGGTGTGTTCTCTTCGTCATGGTCTTTGTTGTGCACATATGGGCGTACTTCTACCAGCGGTGCGTGATGCATACCCTGTGGCGGCAATAGTACGGATATTATTGACACACGCACAGACAATATACCCGCGCGCAAGTCGTCGCGAATGGATACCACAAGTATGACATCTACGACCATGGGTACGCCCCGCGGATATTGCTATACATATTCTGCGGCCTGCTCGACGCGATGTGGCAGACCACAGCGTACTGGGTCATGGGCGCCATGTCGAATGACCCGGCGAAGCTTGCGCATTTCACTGGATTCTGTGAGTGACTAGTTGTGAATATTATGCTGAATTCGACCTAATGTCCCCCAGATAAATCCATACAGTCTGCCGGCGCAGCGGGCATATGGCGAGCCGACGCCGTCGGGATACCGTACGTCGTCTTGCGCGTCTGACGTGTGATGTAGAACATCTCACCGACTTCTCTGCAGATTCATGAGCATCTTCATCTCAACATGGGTGCTGCTTGTCACAGGCCTGCTCTGTGCCCTGCCCATGATACACATGCGCGTGCAAGATCACACGGAGGAGGAGGACGACTACATGTAAAGGTCTTTCCTGTGTTCGCTCTGAATATGCCGCTGATGATGACCAGACACGAGCTCCCCTTGAGAGATCAGGCGCTAAAGCACGATAAGTGAGGGCTATGCTGACACTACAAGGTGGCGATTCCGTGAGACGACTGCTCCTTTCATTTAATTTTGCAATACCACTCCTTTGTATCTTCTAGCTGCATCCTCCACTATGTCCGATCACTCAGTGTCGCAGGGCCTCGTTGTAATATATCACGGGATAATATCAGTTTTGCTCGCTACCGCGTCCAAAACATGCACGTTGTCGACATCGCCAATACCAGAGCTCAGCTTGCATCCAAGGGCCTCCAAGTCCATCTCTATCAGCAGAGCCGGCCACAGCCTTTGTTGAGCATGAGCTCCTCTCCGGACCAAGACCCTTCCACTGAAGAAACCTCGCTTCATCAAGCCGTCGAAGGCACCACGATCGCTCGAACCACAATACTCGCGACTACGCCCGCCCTTCATGGCGTCAATTTAGCGTCCACTATGGTGCTCGAGGTGCTCGTAGCCAATCTAACCGGCTCTCTTGTGCAGACTGTTCTCAAACGCGAAGGTCTTGTCCTCCCCTCCGAGACCGCCCAGGCTGAACCGAGCCGTCTACGGAGCAGCGGGACTTGGGATGGTGCCTGAGGATGGTGACCAAGGGGTTCACAGAGGATAATACAAAGCTCCGTACGGTGCGAGGTGCTGTCCCGGAAGAGCGGAAGAAAGTACGCTGGATCCATATCAAGGAGCTTCGCTGATAAAAGATTGCTGGATGATAGCGGGTGCGGCAGACGGACGACGAGGCGGCGGACGAGCGACGAGCTCTTGGTGCACGCAGGAGTTCTCGAGACTGGGCACGAGAAGATGGTCGTCTTCGGTGAGACGCAGCGCATCCTTCAAGCTGCAATTCAGGACACATCAGATGTCGCGCAGAAAGACGCGATATGGGTCACGGTCATCGAGCGGTTCATTGATGCTAAACATAGCCTTGATACTCTCGGATTGAGGTGGCGGAGCTGCGGGGTGAAGCTTGAAGGCCGAACCTGGATGTACTTGCAGAGTGAAGTGGTTCACTAGAGCAACGAGTGCATCGGAGGGGACGTCTTGTCGACTGAAGTGCGCTGAAGCGAAGGACCGGGCGGAACTGCCAGTGCCGGAGGCTAAATGATCGTCGTAGTGATATTAACATGAGATGTGTAGTGTCGGCGTGGCATCCTAGAAGTCCCCGTGATCTCACCACGCTGACATCTCTGGCATTTGTTACAGTGTCGACGATCAACGGCGATGTATACCATGAGTGATAGCGCAGACTCGGAGAGTAGAATGTTCATGAAGTTAATGCTGGTGTTCTTGACAATAGTCCGCGTCGAACGGTAGGCACCACAGTTGTAGTATTGAGGTAGCCCTTTCTAGCTGCGATCTTGGTAATCAGCATACTCATCTATCTCGCCCAAAATTTTATCCCGTGGTTACCTGCGCTCAGCGTAGAGCGAGCCA